TCTGGTATGTGCGGGTATTAAGGGGGGCATGATGGGTATTAGGGGGAAGGTGAAGGTTTAGAATTACACAGCTGAGGGTCCACCACAGATTGATGTCCCCCTCAATCTCTCTGCGTTATTTTGGGTTCTTTTGTATGTTTGCCAGAGAAACCGATATTTGAAACGCATGCAACTTCAACGCATGAGGTTATAATGGGCTGATTAATGTATTTGTCACACCAGGAGGGCTTTTTATTGTCTGCCAACCCCTGAGCTGTAAATCCCTGACTTCATCTGACAGTTTCACCTGAGAAACAGAGAATTAAACAGTTTTCTGTGTACAGTCTGGTAGATAAGGGACCAGTTGCAGGAAGCACTCAGTGGCGTTTGGCTCGTTGTGACTGTTACGTTCTCATCCTGGTGTTCATGGTAGAGAAGTGTCTATTAACGGTTAACGGTTAAGAGCACCACAAAAGCTGCTTTGCAAAGTGTAGTTAAAGGTAGGGTTGGAAAAACCAGCAAGAGGAAGCTTCATTTTGAAAGTAGACATTCGAAGAAATCCCACCCTTTCATTCTGACTTCTCTTCAAAACCATTCCTCAAAAACGCAAGACACACCACCTGACTACTACTTATAGATTTCAGGAAATTAACAGATGTCCCCCAAGCAAAATAAAACTGATAATTGCCTGTCCAGGAGAAATATGGCCACCATGGCGTCACTTTCAGCCCCTTTTATTCTCTCAGTTGTTGCCGTCGTCCAAAAGCCACACCAGTGTTAATGCTGGTTTTACTTTCTGCTGCAACCAACTTCTTTTTAGTTGTAACTTTCTTGAATACTGTTACCGTGCCCAGATTTGTGGCCCTGAACCATACTTCCGTAGCAGGGGTGCCAAACGTTTTCCATCCATCCATTTTCTTCCGCTTATCCGGGACCGGGTCGCGGGGGCAGCAGTCTAAGCAAAGATGCCCAGACTTCCCTCTCTCCAGACACTTCCTCCAGCTCCTCCGGGGGAATGCTGAGGCGTTCCCAGGCCAGCCGAGAGACATAGTCCCTCCAGCGTGTCCTGGGTCTTCCCCGAGGCCTCCTCCCGGTGGGACATGCCCGGAACACCTCCCTAGGAGGCCTCCGAAACAGATGCCCGAGCCACCTCAGCTGGCTCCTCTCGATGTGGAGGAGCAGCGGTTCTACTCTGAGCTCCTCCCGGGTGACCGAGCTCCTCACCCTATCTCTAAGGGTGCGCCTGGCCGCCCTGCGGAGAAAGCTCATTTCGGCCGCCTGTATCCGGGATCTTGCCCTTTCGGTCATGACCCAAAGTTCATGACCATAGGTGTTTTGACCATGACTATTTTTTTGGAGCGCATCACATCATATGAAAAGATCATACAAAAATAGCTGCGATTTTTGTGTATAATTCATTAAAACATCTAAGGCAGTTGTTCCAGTGAGAATAAACCTCACTGCTCTGAGTGTTAAAAGAAATCTTAAGTAAGCTTATTGTGATTCAGCTCTTCTCTCTGCCTCACTCAGTGATGTTTCTCACACACACTCCCCTTCTCTCATTTCATTACACATCCAACTTGATATTTAAATAGAAATCTTTTACACCATGTTTAGACATTATGATACTTTTCTTATTCCTAAACTACTGTTTTTATCATGCACATACACGCACACACAGTTTGTCACGCATGCAGACAAACCTCTTGTCTTGTCTGTTGTCCCTGCATTTCATCCATT